CACCTGTTATCTGTCAGCCGAGCGTGTGTGTGTGCTCGCCTATGACCTGTTTTCGTATTATTTTTTTTCTTTCTTTCTTCTTCGTTTTCTCTTTTCCTTCTCCCAGATCGCTTGAACGTAAAGAAAGAATTATTCTTAAAACCCAAAATATTTTTCGGCCTTAAATAATTATTAAATGGTTGATAAACCGTAAAAAAAAAACAAATCATATATCTATGAATATTTTTTCATTTCGTCAGGTATGCATGGTGCCACACAAATTATATATATATATATATATATATATATATATATATATATATATATATATATTTGGGTTTAACATGTTTTAAAAAAAAATATCAAAATTTCATTCCATGATATTTTTCAACCGAAACTAGAATTTTTTCAGTTAGAAAATTCAACCGTCATTATGATTTGTATATTTTAATTTTAAATATTTTCTTATTAAATTTTTTTCTTTTTACTTTTATAGATAATATTTTTAGGAGTTTTAGAAAACAATGTGGTTCAATTAGTTCATTATTTAAAAAAGAAGCTTTTTTTAATTTATGACAAATGGCATGGATTCGATATATATAAAATGTTTAAGATTTTCTGAATCTCAACAAATTATTTATTTTTGGTTTTTTGGGGAGTTTAATTAGGGATGAACTTCAAGAATTTGTAATCGTAAATTTTCTTTTTCGGATGATTTAAATGTGTTATATATTTGGGGCTCAGTTAATAATTGGATCAGTCTTTTTAATATTTGTTATTTTATTATTTTTAAGATGTTTATTCAAATTATATTTCAATGGATCGATTGTTATTTCAAATATTTATATATATATATATATATATATATATATATAAATATAAAACAATATATTTTTATTTATATATTAAAATATAGTTGAAAATATATAGTATCCCATTTTGGAAGATTTCATTTTTATTAATTTTTTTATATCAGTTGAGAATTAGTTAATAATATAATCAATTGCAAAATAAAAAAATTTTACCATCCTGATTTGTTTATCTAATATAAAAATATATAATTATCCATCATTCTTCTTGTCCTTGAAATTATTAATTTTTCTGTTCTTTTTAAATATCATATATATATATATCAATTTAGAGAAAAAAAAAAAAAAACTCCAATATTCGGTTGAAGAAAAAAATGGAATTTTGATTTTTTAATTTAATGTTGTTTTTTTAAAAAAATTTTTTTTTTTTAAATTTTCAAAAACATGGTTATTTTCTGTATACACTTAAAAGCTATATATATTTCAATTTTATATGTTAATTTATGTATTATATATATATATATATATATGTTTTGAAATATCATCATATTCTTTTTTTTTTAATTTGAAAATTTAAAATGAAAGACCGAGTTCGTAATTTCAAAACTTGTATATTTCAAATTATTTTTGATTCAAAAGAAATTAATGGGAATATTTAAAAATATATATATTTCATGTATATATTTTATAACATATATAAATATTTACAACTGCTATTTAAATAACAACTTATTTTTACGGAAATTTGGAATTTGAATTTTTGCAAAATAACGGCAAAGGAAAAGGAAACAAAGAAATTAATATTATAGTATTTAAATTTTTTTTAAATATAAGAATATATGATATAAAAATAAATATTAAATTTAAGACATATAAAAAGAGATGAATTTCTTAAAATAAATGTGTATCTAAAATCTATTTTAATAAGTTATATTATATTTATAATATATAATATATATATATATATATATATATATATATATATATATATATATATATATATATATATACAGTAGCGTCCAAAACTAAGGGACAAAATTTTAAAACCTAATATTTGTTAGAAATAACAACTGTGAAAAGCTGAAATTTTGACAACTGGTAGTCGTTATCATCCATAATAACATACTAAAATTTGAATCATTTGCAAAGGATAGAAAAAGAATTATAACAATTATTTATTTATTTTCAAATTTGGAACGTCCAAAAGTAAGGGACAAAATTGAGAAAAACAATGTAAACGGCAAAAAAAAAATAAAAATACATGTACAATCAATATTTAGTAAATGAGCCCTTGCTCTCAATGACAGCTGCACATCTTCGACTACAAGAACGAATCAGTTCTTGACAATCCTCGATACTAATTTTAGACCATTCTTCTTGAAGCTTCACCCACAAATCCTCCGTGTTAGTGGGATTTCTTTCCATAACTTTCACTCCTAAGGTCTTCCAAAGATTTTCTATTGGATTTAAGTCAGGACTTTGCGGTGGCCAATCCATAATTTCCAAATCTTGCTCGCTAAGGTAACTCATTACCACCTTTGCCTTGTGACATGGGGCATTATCTTGCATAAAGTTAGCCCTATCGAAACCTGAATTCTGTATGATTGGCACAACATGATCTTGAACAATGTTTTTATAGATCTGCGCGTTTACACGAGTTTGTAACCGGACAAGAGGCGTTGTACCTTGGCTAGAAAACATTCCAAATACCATGACGCTTCCGTCCCCAAACTTGACAGTTTTCTTAGTACACTTTGCACTTAATCTTTCACCAATACGTCTCTTTACATTGTTTTTTTCCATCATTTCCATCACTGAAAAATACTTTTGCCCAATTTTCATATGTCCAAATTACATACCTGTTTGCAAACTCTAATCTCTTCTTCTTATTCTTCGAACTAACAAGTGGTTTCTTCCCTGGGGTTCGATTAAACAGCCCTATTTCTTGCAGTCGTCTACAAACAGTCTGTCTTGACACATTAACACATGAGGTACTATTCATAACCCTTTTAATTTCTGTGCAAGACTTAAAACGGTCCTTTAATGACATACGCTGCATTATTCGATCTTCTCTTGCCGAAGTTTTGCGGGGTCTGCCGGTTTTAAAAGCACTAACTATTTTGCCAGTATCATTGTAGGATTTAACAACCCTGCCTACAACACTCTTGGAACGTTTCACTTTCTCTGAAATCTCTCTAATGGTGTGCTTTTCCTTGTGTAGCTTCACAATAGCTTGTCTCACAGAGTAATCAAGTTTTTGGCGTTTCGCCATGGTGCCGGCTGATGCAACGTTTACAAATGACTAAGTAAGACTTATTCTTTAGAGGAAATCAAAAAATTTGAATATAGCATACTGTTTACATTGTTTTTCTCAATTTTGTCCCTTACTTTTGGACGATCCTATTTTGAAAAAAAATAAATAATTGTTATAATTCTTTTTCTATCCTTTGCAAATGATTCAAATTTTAGTATGTTATTATGGATGATAACGACTACCAGTTGTCAAAATTTCAGCTTTTCACAGTTGTTATTTCTAACAAATATTAGGTTTTAAAATTTTGTCCCTTAGTTTTGGACACTACTGTAGATATATATATATATATATATATATATATATATATATATAGAAAGACAAATAAGAAAATGAACAAAGTCTGTTAGAAAATTGGTAAAGAAACGAAAATTAAAATGTATCTTAAGTAATTTATAATAAAAGAATGAGATTCAATTAGGGTTTAGGCAAAATTTCGATAGATAGATGATAGATAGATAGATAGATAGAAAAAGAAATAATTAGATAGATAGAGATAGATAAGATAGATAGATAGATAGAATAGATATTTATTATAGATAGATAGATAGAATCTATAGATAGATAGATCTATAGATAAATAAATAAAACTAACAGAATTAGATAGATCAATAGATAGATAGATAGATAGATAGATAGATAGATATCAGAATTAAATAATAGATAGATAGATAGATAAATAGATAGAATGATTCAAAAATGATTCGATGGATAGCTAAATAGATAAATGGAAGAAATGACTATGACAGAAGAGATAGATAGAGAATAATAGATAGATAGATAGATAGATAGATGGATATTTTTGAAAAGTCACTGCATTTGATATATGAATGTATATCGGTTCAAATCAATCAACAATTATTCATTTTATATATATATATAGGTTATATATATATATATATATATATATATATATATATTATATATATATATAAAAATATCCGACATTTAAACGAAAAAAAAACAATTTTAACATGTAATTGCACGGTTTCTTCCTTATCGATTCCACTTTGTGTAGAACTGAAATATTTGTCTTTTATTCGAAATTCAAAGTAAAATTTCCAAAGGACATTACATAAAAAATTTTCAATTTGGAAATCATTTAATTAAATATATATTTATAAAGATATATATATATATATATATATATATATATATATATATATATATATATATATATATATATAATAATAGTGAAAATGTGAGTGTTATTCCAGAAATATATACCCGGTTATAATATATCTTTTAAATTCACATGTTCAAATAAAAATATGCATTTAACTCATATATATATATATATATATATATATATATTTATATATATATGTATGTGTGTGTGTGTGTGTGTGTGTGTGTGTTCAAAATGAATGATTTGTTAGAAATTTGGACCTGAAATGTATATTTACAAAACCCGAATATATTTTGATTTCATTTGCGGAAGTTTTTTCATTCCAAAATTCAAACACACACACACGCACAAACCTGTGTTATACTGGAAGTTTATACCTAAATAAAAAGAAAGTTTTGGAACATTTGTCGTTTTGACCATAGACTTTTTTTTTATAAATTTATATTTAAAGATTTCTACGAACAAAACGGAAAATGTTAATATATATTTTATATAATGTTCTTCGACTTTTTTTTTCCAATTGTTTTTTTGTGGCAGTATTTTTTGGCCAATTCAATTCTCCGAATTAGAGAGATGGTTTATCATTCTTTAAAAGCGACAAGATAGTTCATCATATATACCAACACAAAGAAAATATTATATATTTTGCATCTCAGTATTTTTGACAATAAAATAGTTATTAACCGTCCAATGTTTGTAAGCTTTTCCGGATAAAATTTTCCTCATACAATGGTTTGAGGATATGGGGAAATATATTGCAATAGGATTTATTATGCTGCACAGTTGGATAACTTAAAGTACCTTGTGACAAAGGATCAATTTCTTCTTCTTCTTCTTTATTTTCTTTCTTCTTCTTTGTCTTTCTTCTTCTTCGTCTTTTTTTTCTTTCTTCTTATTCTGCGTTAAAATTCTTCTTCTTCTTCTTCTTTGAAGCTATTTTTTCTACTTCTTATTTCTTCTTCTTTCTTCAAACTTATTCTTCTTTTTCTTCTTCTTCTTCTTCTTTTTTTATTTCTAAACTTCTTTTCTTCTTCTTCTTCTTTTTTCTTTTTTCTTCTTTCTTCTTCTTTCTTCTTTTTTTTCTTTTTTTCTTCTCATTCTTCTTCTTAATCGTCTTTCTTTTCTTCTTCTTCTTTCTTCAAGATTTTGTTCTTGTTCTTTTTTTTCTTCTTCATTTTTTTCTTCTTTCTTTCTTCTTCTTCTTTTCTTTAGAATTATTCTTTTCTTCTTTCTTCTTCTTTACTATCTTCTTATCTTTCTTCTTCTTCTTCTTTCTTTCGTTTTCTTTCTTCTGAGGTTCTTGTTCTTTTTCTTCTTCTTCTTCTTCAAATTTCTTCTATCTTCTTCAAGAAGATTTTTTCTTCTTCTTCTTTTTTTTTTCTGATTTTTTCTTATTCTTGAACTATGAAAAAAAATTCTTCTTTTCTTTTACGAAGAGTTTTGCAACACTTCTTTTTCTTCTTCTTCTTCTCTTCTTCTTCTTCTTCTGCAATGTCTTTTCTTCTTTTCTTCTTCTTTCTCCAGCAGGGTTTCTTCTTCTTCTTCTTCTTTTTGAATCTTTCTTCTTTTTCAAAATCTTAAAGAAGGCTTCATTCTTCTATTTCTTCTTCTTATTTTTCTTCTTCTTCTTCTTCTTCATATTCTTTTCTTCACTTTCTCCTTGTCTTGAATGCATTTTTATTCTTTCTTCTTAATTTTCGATACTATTTTCTTTTTTTTCCTTCTATTTTTTATAATATTTTTCTTGTTCTATCTTCTTCTAATATAAATCTTTTTCTTCTTCTTCTTCTTCTTCTTTCTTCTTCTTCTTCTTCTTCTTCTAGACTGCCTTTATAAAAAAGACGTTAGAAACTCATTGTTCTGTCAATTTGTTATCAAAAACATTATAAAATCTTTTTATATAGACAGATCTTGTTTATCGTTTCTGACTACATTTTTTATCATCTGCAATTTTTCATCGGGATGGTTTGTAAAACTTAATTTATCATTAATAAAATGTGGGATATTTTTATTCTGTGTCCCGTGTCCATTGAAGACGTTGGCGGTAATGGCTCTCTACATTTCCCCATGTCCTTTGGGGCTTTTAATTTTATTTTTCTGGACCTTGTTCCGCCATCTATTTACTCAAGCTCATTCTTCTGCATTGGTGTGTCTCTTCAGAAGGTAACGATCATGATCCTCCACTATTTCCCGTCCTTTGTAGATCTTAATAAAATTTGTTTTTTTATTACATCTTTGAAACCTTGTTCGACCATCAATTTACCAAAGGTTATTCTTTTTATTTTCTGCCATTTAGTTTCATGAAAATAAAGGTTTGAATTGGCTAGCCCACAAAAAATTCCTTTTTAATCTATCTATCTATAAATCTATCTATATATAAATTTATATATCTATCTATCTATTAAGTCTCTTCAAAATGTTATTAATCTATCTATCTATAAATATAAATTATCTTTCTATCTAAAAAATTAATTCTTTCTTCATATCTATCTATTCATCTATTTATAAAAATTTCAAATATTCTATAAAATTTCATCTATCTATTCATCTATCATCTATCTATTTCTTTCTATCTTTTCTAGTCTCAAAACAATCTATCTATCTATCTATCTATCTATTCGTATCCATCTATTTTAGTGATTTCTATTAATATGTTATTTTTATTTGAGTAAATGCCCTGTTTCAATTAAACAGTATTACTCGCTTTATTACCTGAGTGTTGAGAAATTTAGTGGAAAATATGCATATTAGAACATTCGGGCTGTTAAATGTAATTAACACAGCCGACGGGAAACAGAGCATTTGCTCAAATATTTTGTACCCAAAATGTTTTAACGTATGAACAGAAAATATTTTAAAATATCTTTAAATTTAATCATCAAATCTTTCTGCCATTTAATCTATCTATTCATCTAAATATAAAAAAATACTACATATATATATATATATATATATATAATTTATATGTGTATATATATATATATATATGTTGTGTATGAACATTATAATGTGTATATATATATATGAAATTATATATATATATATATGTATATATATATATATGAATAAATCATTTATAAATATATGTATGTATGTATATATCTCTCGCCATTTATGCAGTATCATTCTTTCATTCAGTGTGGCTAGATATTCGATTGCTTCAAGACTAGATTGATTTCGCATCAGTCAGAGACTCTACCCCTAACTATTTATGTTTTTTTCTTTACACACACACACACACACACACACACATATATATATATATATATATA